CTCCCGTCCCCCTGCCCCCCTGTCCCCCCGTCCCCCTGTCCTCCCGTCCCGCTGTCCTCCCGTCCCCCTGTCCTCCCGTCCCTCTGTCCCCCTGTCCTCCCGTCCCTCTGTCCTCCTGTCCCTCTGTCCTCCTGTCCTCCCGTCCCCCTGTCCTCCCGTCCCCCTGTCCTCCCGTCCTCCTGTCCTTCATCACGTCTCGCTCCTCTTCCTCTGCTTTCTTCTCTTCCAGCAAATCGATTCGGATCAACGTCATCGATGATGAAGAGTATGAGAAAAACAAGAACTTCTTCCTGGAGGTCGGCGATCCTCAGCTGCTAGAGATGAGTGAACGGAAAGGTGGGGGCGTCGCCACCCTGACCTCTGACCCCGCGCCACTGACCTTTAACCTTTCCTAATCTTGACCCCCTCAGATGTTTGTGGTTTCCGTGATCCGTTGCGTGATTTTAGGTTCAGGGTTGCAGCGGTTCTCTGAACCCCCCCGCCTGTGTGCCTGTGAACTAATGACCCCTGACCCCTGACCCCACAGGAAGACGGTGTCGGTTAGAATAACGGACCATGAGGAATACGATAGGAAGGCCAGCTTCTACCTGGAGCTGCAGGAGCCCTGCTGGGGCAGGAGGGGACAGACAGGTGGGAGCCGTACCTGTCTGGTGACCTCTGACCTCTCTTCTTCCTGCTGTCGCTCTGCTGCCTCCTATTGGCCAGGACTGTCAGGGGCTCAGCTCTGATTGGCTGCAGCTGAACTTTTTTTAACTATGAGGGTTTTGGAGACACTGGTCCAGGTTATCTGGAACAGAAACGATCCAGAGACAGTCAGACCTCCCAGACTGGACCTACTGGTCCCAGTCTGGACCCTACTGGTCCTAGTTTGGACTGGGGTTCTGAAGCTGAATGGGGGAGCGGCGGACACATCCATCACTCCCCCACAGTGCTGCTGTAGAAGCCCAGATCGTCTATAGCAGGGTTTCAAAGTGTGAGGCTCGGCCCACAGGGGGCGCCAGAGCTCTTCAGGGGATCTGGAGGAAAATTCCAACAAGAAAAGAAACTCAATGTTTAGCCAAGCTGGAGACAAGAAGTCAGATTTTTAGACAGCCAGGGCGGATCAACATGGAATGAAGGAAATAAAGCTGGAATGCTAACGGCTAACTGTCCCACGCTTTGAAACGCCGTGGGATGTTAACGGCTAACTGTCCCACGCTTTGAAACGCCGTGGGATGCTAATGGCTAACTGTCCCACGCTTTGAAACGCCGTGGGATGGTAACAGCTAACTGTCCCACACTTTGAAACGCCGTGGGATGTTAACGGCTAACTGTCCCATGCTTTGAAATGCCGTGGGATACTAACGGCTAACTATCTCACACTTTGAAACGCCGTGGGATGGTAATGGCTAACTGTCCCACGCTTTGAAATGCTGTGGGATGCTAACTGTCCCATGCTTTGAAACGCCATGGGATGCTAACGGCTAACTGTCCCACGCTGAAATGCCTGATCTAGAGATTGAACCTCCTACTGCTTCTGATGCTTTATGCTTCTCTTTATTTTTTCTGCAGCTCTGCTGCTGCAGGAAGTCGGTAAGCAGACTTCCTGTCTCCTTTCTCCTTTCCTGCTTCAACTTTCACCCCTTCAGACAGAAACAAACGCCTAACTCAATGTTTTTGTCTTCTGGCCTCACAGGTGGCTTCGTCCAGACAGGTAGGACCGCTGTCGGGTTCAGTCCAGGTAGACGGGTTCAGTACCTGACGGGCCGACATTAACTGATCCTTTCTCTAACGTTTCATTAGACAAGCAGCTGTTTGGTAAGACACCGCCCTCTGGTGGACGTTTGAGTGTCTAATTCTACAGACCATCTGACCCTCTGAAACCCAGGAGGCTCTCATTTAACCAGAACAAGACCAGGACCAGAACTGGACTAGGGACTCTGGTTCTAGAGAGTTCTGCCGGGTTCTCTGCCTTTCTATCAGCTCTGGGCTCTGTTGTCGGCAACCTGCGGCTCTTTAGCGCCGCCCTAGTGGCTCTGGAGCTTTTTCAGAAATGTTTGAAAATTGAAAAGGATGGGGGTGGGAATTATCTTTTGTTTTAATATAGTTTCTGTAGGAGGACAAACATGACACAAACATTCTTAACGTTTTCCAATGCTATAAAAATGTGTAGGGTAAATATTAAATTTCAACATTTCCCTCAACAAAGATTTGCATCATAACCTGTGACACGTTTCTTTCAGCTGGGCGGTGCGAGGCAGGGGGCTGTAAACAGACAGACAGGTGGGGGGGGGCATGGAGAGCAAAGGGAAAAGAGGAAAATAGCCGAAGAGAGATTCTACAATTCTTGGGCCGAATCATTTGCATTCATTGCCAATGCAGAAGGATTACCTGAATGTTTGCTCTGTAGAGAGAAGCTGCCAAATAACAAAAAGA